ACATTGACAAGTTGTGGCTTTATGGCTGAAGTTAGGTTTTAGTCACGGACTAAAGTTAGTTTTAAGTTGGTTGGTTGATTTTTAAATGTCATACAATCGTTAAAATAAAGTGCTTATCTTGTAAAATAATTCTAAATGTAAAAATGATTTTATTATTTTAATACAAAAATACAAGAGTATTAAATAGTTTCTCGACACCAATATTTAAAAAGTTTATATGAACATTGTACTGACCTTTTAATTTCGCCGGCAGTAAACAGGATTTAACTTAATTTCGGGCAGAGACTCCACCGTGGAGTGCCCATAAAACATTTTATTTACTTTCACTGTAAAAAACTATTGTTAGTCCATTTTTAAGGGATACATTTCGATTTAACATAAAAATTTGACATTTTTACCGGCTCGCCTGTAATACAGGTTCTCATTCTTACGGTTACTCTATTTTTGTATTGTTGTAGAAAAAGTATAGGTATTATATAATATAGGTATTAGGGTGAGCCAAAAAAACTAACCTATCGGATTTATGGGTTAAAATGAACCTACATACCGAGCAAAAAATTTCCCTGCAAGGCAAAATTTTTTGCTCAATTTTTAAAGGTGTCGGTGAGCATTCTAAGTTTTCCATTGAAATAACACGTAAAAAAATCTTTTTTCATTAAAAAGACTATAACTTTTGAACCGTTTAAGATAAAAATGTTTACGTCGCGGATTCTTGTAGAACAAAAGATTTCCCAAAGAATCTATACTAGGATTATTTTTTTTAATTCAAAAATTCGTATGTTTGAAAGCTTTGAAAAGTGTAAAAAATCACTAAAACTGCAGTTTTATTGATTTTTTACACTTTTCAAAGCTTTCAAACATACGAATTTTTGAATTAAAAAAAATAATCCTGGTATAGATTCTTTGGGAAATTTTATGCTCTACAAGAATCCGCGACGTAAAAAAATTTTATCTCAAACGGTTCAAAAGTTATAGTCTTTTTAATGAAAAAAGATTTTTTTACGTGTTATTTCAATGGAAAACTTAGAATGCTCACCGACACCTTTTAAAATTGAGCAAAAAATTTTGCCTTGCAGGGAAATTTTTTGCTCGGTATGTAGGTTCATTTTAACCCATAAATCCGATAGGTTAGTTTTTTTGGCTCACCCTAATAGGTATACCTAAATGGCTTTTACTTTAGATAATTCATTTATATTTTTAAATGTTTTCTTAAAAATGCACTTTAGAATATTTAATATGAAACTACTAGTTATTTATGTCATAAGGCCAAGAAGTAAGTCTTTTTGTGCTAAGCGAAAAGCACAGAAGACCTTGTGGGCCGGATAGCATACTACTATGTCATTATATCTTTAGGTTTTAATGTTTTATAGAATTCAAGGCCAATTTTTTATGGTATATTATAATTATTAAAAGTAAAGAGTAAAGTTAGAACCATATGACATCGAATTTTATTATTGGATACGAAGTGCGAGGAAGCTTTTCCCAATTTAAAACCCGATTTGTTTAAATCACGGTGAATGATAAAATCGGCCAATTACTGACGCCTTGCACCTAATTACTAGCCTCATGAAAGTTTGTTTATTGCTAATTTTTATGTGCCTAATTATGCCTTAATCAATCTCTTCAGTGTCAAGTGTTGGCGACTATAAAGTTTAGGAAGGTATAAAGTTCTCCCAATAGGAATAAAAATATTGAATTTAAAAAACACAAATGAAATTCTTTAATATTTTTACTGACCTATCAAGTATATCAGAGTCAGTCTTATTTAAAGTCGTCATTTTGATAGCAAAAATAGATATTTTCTAAAATAAATAAATAATTTTAATTTTATTTTAGTAGGGTCACACAAAAAGTAAATATCCAATATACAATAAAGGATTTTCAAATGTTTGACTTTTTTCTCGATTTAAAGGTTTTTTTGATCAACTTATGTCAGGTGTGTCTAGGGTTGGGACAGTTGAAATTTTCATTTGAAAGTTTCAAACTTGAAATATTTCATTTAGTTGGAAAAGTGAAATTTTTAAAAATTTCAAATAAAATTTTCAATTCGAAAATTTCAACATTGCCTGTGAAACTTTCAGAAATTTTATTGAAAGTTTCGCAATTTACTGAAAATTTCGCATAAATTTCACATGCGGCCTCCCCTGGGACCTTTAATAATAATTTACAACAGATTCTGAATCGACCAATAAGAACAAGTTATCATGATAACTTGCAAGCGTCTGGGCGTTTTTGTTTAGTTCGGCTTGGATTTTAATACACTATAAGTAATTATTGTTACTTATATGCATAAATTAATTTAAATAATTTAATTCAGTTACCAATTTAATTTGTAAATTAAATCAGACTTCAATTTTTTTAAAAGTCATGCTTAATTTAAACTTTTACTTATGCTATAATTGCATCGGAAAACGGATAAAAAATGCCTTTGGCTCATAATATTTTTGTAAAATTTCAGTAAAATGTATAAAAATAGTAAATATATATATATAAATATAAAACAATGAAAGTGGCACAATCTCATTAGCTTACCAAAAAGTGCTATATCTCTCTTAGTTTTAGTAATTTTAAAAATATTTTAAAAGGAAATCTCAAGAAATTTGTGGTAAACATAGGTATTTACTATTTATATTATTGGTGCAGGGGCCCACAGAGGGTCAGGAGGTGAGAGAGGCAATTTGCCATGGTCACCGAGTGGGCTTATTTCAATATTAATATGTATATTACACTTAAAGTGATTGAAATTTATTGAAAGTTTCAATAAATTTCATGAAATTTCAGACATTTAGGAAATTTTAATAAATTTCATAAATGTCGTGAAAATTTCAAGTGAAATTTCATGTAAAGCAAAAAGTGAAATTTTCCCAACCCTAGGTGTGTCACAGCGTTAAAATCTGCTTGACTAAAGAATTATGGAATACCAAAGTTTTTACAACAGTGTCTGGAACTTCATACCCTTGCGTATCCGTTCATGGCTTTGGTGAAGGGGCTTGGTGGATCTGTGTTCTGCTTTGCACTTTTCTTGTTCTTCGTATCCAAATTCTTGTATCTGTGATAGCGTTTTCTGTATTTTTCTACTGCTGCTTGTCAAAAGACTTTATTAACTGTTTTTCCAATAGCCTAATTTTTCTGTATAAAGCGCTTCTATCTATACGAACTCTTGTTCTTCCAGATAACCTGTTCGCATCTACATATTGTTTTCTTACCCCTTCGAATTCCTTATCAACATCAATTGGATCCGGGGTGCCTGGCGCGTGTTTTCTTCAAGGAATTCAAATTGTACACGATGGATTTTCTTGTTTTCTCGACATTTCAATTGGTCCGATCTCCATCTTTTTCGATTTTAACCGAATTTGTTTTAAAGTGTAGATCTTGATAAACTGTATATTTGGAGCAAAAAACGACATATTTGTACAAAATACAAGGCCTACTATGTCAGTTTTTAGTAGTAAATTTTTAAGAATTTATGGTTATATCCAATTATATAAGGGCAGATACAAATTTTGTATATAATCGTATCCAATCTTATACAATTGTATATGATTGTATACAATTCTATCTAATCATTTTTTATCGGGTCATTAAAAAAAAACGGTGTCGCTGCTTTGTTAGTAACAAATTGTTACCCTTATTATTTCTTCATTTCTTTTTTGAAGTCACCCCACAGGCCATATAGTCTAGGAAAGTCTTTCGAAATATTGACATAATTTAATTATACATATACATTATATTGTATAACCACACGCTACACTTAACACAATCAGTGTGGTTAAAATTTTATACTATTTTATTATAAAAATAAGAATTGTTACCAACAACAAGCGCGTACGTCTTGACAGTTTTAGAACTTTAATTACGTTTTTTTACTTTAATACGTCTGAATGCGCGCATATAGCCTAAAGGTTGCATATAGTAAATTTAAAAGTAAACTACGTACACGTCATCAATCAGCTGATCGGGCACGGTTGTCAATGTGATGCTAAAATCCTTGCATCAAGGGAAAGTGGTAGTGCAACTACAGGGCGATAGATGGCGTTTACATGAATAATAGCAAAATGTCAAAAGTCTGAGTTTTTATAACCTATATGATGCACCGCCAAAAGTATGTTTTTAGCCATTTTTAAAGACATTTTCTGATATAAAACCCAAAAATTTTGCCATCTAAAGTCAGTCTCTGGTATATATATTATTATGTCATGTATCCAACATATATTTTGTTAAATATTCTAATATATAATTAATAATAATCCTATTTACCTCTCTAACAGCTGTTAAAGGTAACAAAGGTCCATTATTATCCCGTTCTGCCTCAAAATAGCGTATTAAGGATGACACCAACTCTTGACTATTTAAATGCTTCGGCATTTTAAATATAGGAAACACAAAAAAACGATATATAACAAACACAAACAACAAACAAAATAAACGAAATAATACACGAATTAAACGAAATATTCAAAAACACAACTGACAGCTTCGAAATTCTAAAACGTCAAATTCTTTTTTATGTGTCATTTAAATATGAAAAATTTGAATGTAAACATGACAACATCACAATTGTTGCCAACTTAATTTGGTTAAAATGCATTCAAATATTCAATTACAGACTTCGATTTAGTCATTTAGTGTTGGTACCAATGCGTAAAATTTTTGTTTTATTGATGACGTGTACGTAGTTTACTTTTAAATTTACTATACACGAGTAGCGCAGCATTCAGTTTGCTTTTTGCACACATAACTGCCTCGCACAAATGTGCTTGCACAAATGCGCTCGCACAAATGCTCGAAACGTTCGTTTCTAATTGGGGGTCTTTGTAATTTCCAATACACATCTACCTACAAATACGCGTTTGCCCTTTAATAATAATAATAATAATAACGTTTATTGTCCAATAGATATTTAAGTATCTTTAATATTTAATGTCAGCAATGGGGACACACTACATAAAATACAAATATTTAGTTTTATTGGAACCACCACTAATCTATTTTTTTCATAGGATGGACGTCTTCAGAGTGGCGACCACATTCTGCAGATCGGCGAGGTAAACCTTCGTGGATTGGGATCTGAACAAGTTGCTTCAGTCCTCCGACAATGCGGAGTTCATGTCCGTATGGTCGTAGCACGACCTGTAGAATCCACTACCGCTGATTATCAGGTAAATTTTCCAAATACATTTCTTATGATAACACCAGCGAGATGTACTATCCTCCACACACAAAAGGCCAACTTTGACTTTTGAATGAGGAAGGAGGTGGACCCATAATTAATTAGTATCTTTCAATTTCAGTCATTAGTGTAATTGTCCAGATCTTTTCTGAATCCTGTATCTTGTGATATTACTACTAAAAATAACTAATTTCGCGGTGCTATATGGGCATTTATTTTTATTGTTAAAAAACGGCGTCCTCACTGCATTTTATTTTTAAAAAGCAATAATAAGTTTCTTTATAATATTTGGTGCGAGTTGAGTTAGGTAATAATCTTCCAAACTTCATATTCAAAATGTAAAACTCGAAATGTCCGTGTCCCAGTACTTTTTCTGTAATTTAACATTGGCAAGTTTATGTTAAAATGTGACCCTTGTCATCAATAGTGTTTTTTATTTTTTTTTCAAAATAATCTTTCTAAATTTACCATTTTGTTAATACCTTAGAACAAAAAACAACAGGAAGGAGTCTTGTCATTCTTTAGCCGTACTAAAATTACGACGGAAGTCGGCCATTTGCAAGCTCCAAATTATGACACATTTGTGATGATATATTTGTCAAAATTGAATGTTTTATGTGTTTGTCGGTGTTTCATGTTGTTTTTCTGGTTAAATTAACTTTAAATAAGCGTTTCATTGTTTCTAGACAATATTGTATTTGATATATTCTCGTTTAAGTGTAAATATTTAAAGTTTAAGATATAAATATTAGTGTTTAAGGTGTAAAAACAAATTATGGTTAGTTGTGCAGCTTGTGGTTGCTCCTTGAGCACAAAAATTAAAAATATTCATTTACATTTCATAGGTGAGTATTTTGGTTAACGTTTAATTTATTTACTTATTGTATATTTTAAAATAATTAGTTGTAAATATTAAACATAAATCAATGTCAAATAACGTAACCTTAGAACATAACCATAACCTAAGAACGTCACCATCATAGAAAAAACCATAGGCGTATCATATTTTCTGATACTAACCTAATTATTATAAAAATTAAACTTCAATTGTATTTACTACGCCACTGTCAAACGGAAACAACTATCCGCCATATTGAAGCTCCACTTTGGACCCAAGGTCATTTATTAAATGCTCCTTCCTGTTGTTTTTTGTTCTAAGGTTAATACAAAAGTTAAATCCCCTAAATCCCCTTCTATCAAAATGAAAGCTCTCCCCAACATGTTATGTCCCTTCTGTCTGCCTTTTTTGTAGTTCTATAAAAGGGTTATAAATGCAACTGTCAAGTCGAAAGTTAGTTGTCCATTATTTAAAGAATCACCTGATCTTTTCTTAAAGATGATAGTAGAGGATCCCAAGTAAGGTCGACCTTCACCCATCTGCTTACCAGATGAAAATTATATTATATCAAATAAAATATGTTTCTGAACATAAACCAATAGGGTTGCCATAAAAAATATGATCAAGGCTAGCTATAATAAATAAAAAATTAAAAAAAAAATAATTAATTTTTTAAATTTCACCGACTTGCTTGCCAAATGAACGAAATTCCAATGGAAAGCATACAACATACAGAATATGTAACAGCTAGGTTGCCTACCTTTTTCTGGTCCCTATTACCTGGTTGCTTTGTACAGGGTGATCCCCTATAATGTCGCCCCCCTTTAATTTTTTTATTTTAAGTGTCCCAAAAAATTTAAAAGTGTGGTTATGTAGGTACTAAAAAATACTTTTTTTCTACGTATAAAGACAATTGGAAAATTGATCAGTATACAGGGAAAAACAAAAAGTTTATTTTTTTCAATGGATCACCGTATATATGAATTTATTTTTCGATTCCTTGTAAAATTCTGAGCATAATTTATATAACAAACCATATACCTAAATTCAACCGTTTCTGAAATATTCGCATTCGAAATGTCATCATTAAATGTTTTTTTAAACTGTTAGAAATCAAGAAGCCTCAGTATACCAAAATTTTTATTGAAAATAAATTACTATAGTGACATTATGTCAATAAGTGTTGTTAAATAAGTAAAAATGGCGTACTCAGACAGAGAAAAACAAACTATTATTTCAACTTATTATCTTAAAAATAATTTAAATATTTCAGAAACGGTTGAATTTAGGATATGGTTTGTTGTATGAATTATACTCAGAATTTTACAAGGAATCGAAAAATAAATTCAAATATAGGGTGATCCATTGAAAAAAAATAAACTTTTTGTTTTTTCCTGTATACTGATCAATTTTCCAATTTTCTTTATACGTAGAAAAAAAGTATTTTTTAGTTCCTACATAACCACACTTTTAAATTTTTTGGGACACTTAAAATAAAAAAGTTAAAGGGGGGCGACATTATAGGGGATCACTCTGTACAAAGCAACCAGGTAATAGGGACCAGAAAAAGGTAGGCAACCTAGCTGTTACATATTCTGTATGTTGTATGCTTTCCATTGGAATTTCGTTCATTTGGCAAGCAAGTCGGTGAAATTTAAAAAAATAATTATTTTTTTTTAATTTTTTATTTATTATAGCTAGCCTTGATCATATTTTTTATGGCAACCCTATTGGTTTATGTTCAGAAACATATTTTATTTGATAAAATATAATTTTCATCTGGTAAGCAGATGGGTGAAGGTCGACCTTACTTGGGATCTTAGACTATGAAGGTGGTTTTTGAAAAATAGCTGGAAAATGTATGTACAATTGGCGTCCCCGAAATGTGAACGATTTTTGGTTGTCATGGATTTTTTTCATAAAATTCATTCGTTCATTCCTGGCTTCGGCCAGTGGTGTTACAAATAGAGGGGAGAATACTAAGAACAATATCCTAAATCGGTATTTTTTTAATAATATTTTAACAAACAATAATATTACAAATAAATTAACGTTAATTTGGTTTTGTACAACAATATTAACAAGTAGGTAAATAAAAAATATAAATAACATAACTAAATTAACATATTGCTCAAGAAAATTGGTAAAATAGTAAAATAGCTGCAGATTTAAATGTCTTAAGCTCTTCCCAAGAATGTTCAATATCATTCCGTAGTTCATTTCTGTTTGCTGGCTTAAAAAACTGTGCTGCTGCTCATAAGCTATTTTAATACGTAATTGCGGAGCCATTAGCTGCCACAACACTTTGCAGCCTTTTGGCATGGACATTATTATAATAACCTATAAGTTACGCATGTCGTATGACTCAGCTAGCTCTTCCCAAGAATTTTCAACAGCATTCCGTAGTTCATTTCGGTTTGCTGGCCTAAAGTCCCGTTGATATAATTTTTTAACTATAAAACCCCACACGTTTTCAATGGGGTTTAAGTCAGGACTTCTAGCTGGCCATGGCAAAACAGTTATGTGGTTGTTGTTTACCACGCGAGCTGTGTAATATAATATTTATTAGAATTATTTTTGTATACTTTTGTATAGTTTTTTAACATGTTGGAATACAAAACACACATCTAGCTGAAGGTAGCATAACGTTGTCCTAAATCGTCGTATAGTGCTCAGCCGTTAATCTACCATCAATTTCCCAACATATTCCCGCACCATGGACGCTTATGAAAAAGTGTCCACTATTTGAGGTTCTTAATGTTTAGTTCTCCTCAAATCTTGCGTCTCTTGGACGATATACACGCAGCCTTCCATTATTGCAAGATTGGAACGTTTTTTCATCAGAAAATATAACATTATTCCAAAATTCCTCTCCATAACTTAGATAGTCATTGGTGAACTGGGCTCTCCTGCGCTTATTTTCGTCAGTTAAAAAAACCTTATGAGCAGCAGCACAGTTTTTTAATCCAGATTGATATTTTTTGAGCTGTTCAAAGAAATCCTGAAAATTGTGTATCTTCTCGGGCATTAACTGCGCTATTGAAAGGATTTTGCCTAATATGTGCGACATGAGCATTGTCTTCAATATTCGTTCGAGTTTTTACCTACACCTTGTCTGATAGGTCTTCTCAATCTTAAGATTGTTAAATTTGTTGTTCTTGCCAACGTTCCTAGATATAAAATATGCAGCTTTTACTGACATTTAAATCTGCAGCCACTTCACTTAAAGACCAATTTTCTTCTAATTTGGCTATTGCCCTTGACCTAGGTCAGAGCTCTGAGCCTCAGTTAAGTGGGGTGGCATTTTTGATATTGCAATTGACAATTATTATCAAATTTGACAACTACCGACGACACTGATGCAAAGCCCATATTACACAATTAAATTTTGCCGTTCACATTTCGGGGACGCTAATTGTACATTTTTAATTTGTCTTTCCTGTCCATTGCCTAAAGTTACTTTTATGATAGATAGATAGAAATTTATTTGTCACTAAATAGTTACAAAATCGTCAGGCACAAAGTGTAATATATAAATGAATACAGAAAAATATAAAATACAAACAAACGCATATAAATTAAACATAAATAAAATGTAAAGTAGACCATATAAACAGTGGACATAAAAGTATAAGTTTATAATCGCAGACTCTCCAGGTAGTCATCAATAATTGATAATAATTGATTGTATAGATAGAATTTGCTAACAAATTAAATTTTATAGTCTAAAAAAATACAATTTTAGTATAAATTTATTACTTATTAATTTTTTGACAAAAGTAATAACGGACAGAAGGGAAACATAAATTATTATTTCGTCATTTTTTTGTTTTTTTTTAATATTAAATGTGCTACAAAATAAGATGTTCTGCAAGCCGCAAAGACAACAAAAAAATGTTTATATTATAGCGAGTATCCCTCTGGATCTCGGAGTCATCGCCGGTGAGTCAGCGCTCGAATAATCGAGAGTGGTGTAGAGCTCGCTGGATGTTCGAGAAGACGTTTGAATGACTAGTGTCACGTAGGCGCTGAATTTATAAGGAACAGCGCAGCATGGAGCAGTCAGTCAAGCTATGGTGCTCGCGACGAAATAAATAAATATACGTGCAAATAAATATACTCTTGTACAATAGCGATATATAAATAATTAGTAGTTAAGTGTTTACTTTCTAAGGGCCGGTTTTTCAATCGTTGGTTAAGTTTAACTTACGGTTAACTTTCTTAGATACTATTGTGTTAATAATAGTATCTAAGGAAATTAACCGTAAGATAAAGTTAACCAACGATTGAAAAACCGGCCCTTAGTGTTTTAAGTGTAATTAAGTTATAAAATAAATAGTTTAGTTCGTTAAATAACCAGTGCGTGTTTTATTCACACTACAAACAGTAAAAACGTTACAATATTTAAAAATAAAAAGGCTCAAATGCATTTAAGCGTATAACTAAAATACAGGGTGTCCCGAAAATGGCGCACAAAAGCCACGCCACGCGGCAGGGGGGTATTAAAAAATTCAAACTTTATTTTTATTAACAAATCTTAATTTAATTTAATTTTTAAAACGTCATTAGTTACCTAATAATTATTATAAAACAATTATTGTTTTTAATCCTTCTACATAAGTAAATATTGTAGCGAGTACCGCCCTGGATATCGGAGTGATGACTCATCGCCGATTAGTCATTGCCGGTGAGTCATCGCCGGTGACTAAGCGTTCGAATAATCGAGAGTGTGGAGCTCGCTGGAATGTTCCAGAAGACCTTGGCGCTGTAATATATAAGGAACGACGCATCACAGAGCAGTCAGTCGAGATTTGATACGCGCGAAGAAATAAATAAATATAAGTGCAAATAAATAAACTTGAACAGTAGTGATATATAAATAATTAGTAGTTAAGTGTTTAGTTTTATAGTTTTATAGTGTTTTAAGTGTAGTTAAGTTATTAAATAAATAGTTTAGTTCGTTAATTAACCAGTGCGTGTTTTTATTCACACTACGAACAGTTACAAACGTTACAATATTCTTTTATTAAATAAATACAATAATATTTAGTTATAGGTATGTCATTAAGAGGCCTATTCCCTTTCTTGCTGTTCGTAAACATCGATTTCTTGACATGTTTGTTCACCCAACGACAACCCAAACATCACCTATGTTTAAGGCTATTCCGTTTCTCATATGTTGAGAGTCTTGACCTTGAATCTTTCTGAACAGCGATGAATGTTTCTAGGACAGAGAGTATTTTAGTTTTATAACCTAAAAGTCGCAGATCGTAAACTAAAATTGTGTTAGATAATTATTTTAAAAATCATTGGTGATATTTAATGTATTAAATAAACTTAAAAACAACTTAGGAAAGTCCACAAATTCTAAAAATACTTGAGAAAAACGTTTTATGCTGAACTAGCCAAAGCATAGATCTTCTGGCGGGGCCATTAAGTCCATCCTTATATGGAAAAGGGTAATCATAAAATATTATAATAATAATAATATAATAATTATTTGTTACTTATTTTTACACACTTTTAGTGTATTGAAAATGGCAAGAAAACTACGCATTTCTCTCATGGAGACTGGCAATGTCCGGGAGCCAGTAAAACAACAATGAATTTAAGGATAAATTATTAGCCCTAATAGAGGAAGCTCTGTGAAAGTTAGTGGTGGAGGGTAAGATGGAGGTAATACCATCATTGGAACTCTTCATTGACCAGCCTTTAAAGTCGGGTGGAAGGGCCCCTTCTACAAAAGAGAGGCATAAAGAGAAAGTCCAACTCAAACTCTACACCTTCACTACTCGTCATGACGAGTAGTGAAGGTGTAGAGGTTTTACAAGTTATTGATATAACATAAAAGATTTAAAAATTAAATCAAAAAGTTTTAGCTCCCATGTAAAAAAAAAAGAGTTTTTAGATGCATATTTTTTGTATTTTATTAGTTATAATTTTCTTTGACTAATATTTTGTCTATATTTTAGAGTAATAATATTACATAGGTATTTGATATTTTATATTTGTTGTATTTTTTAAAATATATATATTTTTCCAAGTTATTTTTTATTCTACCAATATATATAGTTTTATAGGTCGTTTTTAGACACTCTGCCCCCTTGTAACATATAAGTCTTGACACCCTCCCCCCAAATTCTCTCTTCACACTCAGATTTTTTTAATTTTCTGTTTTTTTCTAAATAAATATTATTATTATAATAAAATTAATATTAATTATATTAAAAAAATCAGTAAAGCAAAATCTGTATTCTGGTATTATAATTAGGAAATACATTTTAATAATTAAAAAACAAAACATAAAAATATTTTTAAAATTACCAAAAAATATATTTTTATTTATTTGGTGTGAAACCTTATATTATTTGTCCTATTCTCATTTTTAAATAATTATTTATCATTTATAATTATAATTAATTAGGTATTAATTATGAAAAAGTAATTAATCCATAATTACTTTGCTTGATAATGATACTGTACCAAACATCGCCGCAATTTATGATTAATGCAAGATAAATAACCTCAAATATTGGCTAACAGCACCTCTTAGGCAAGCGTTCGTAAACATATGTTTTCAAACATCATGTATGTTCACCAAACATCGAATTTTTGGAAACGGAATAGCCATTTTAACACCGATGATGTTTATAAACATGGATGTTTAAGAAATTCTTCGAGCGCATGCGTTTATAGACGAAATAAATGAAAGGGAATAGGCTCATATGTTACGAAACATATGTAGTTCACGAACATGCATGTTTTGCGAAAGGGAATAGGCCTCTAAGGCTTGCGCTGACCTCAAAGTTTAAAGAGCGAATGGCATACAACATTTTATTTGTTAAACGATACATAAAACCTACAATTTTTAAAAGTAGAAAGGAGGTTAGATCGATCTTACAAAAGTTTAATGTTTACTAATGAAATTATTTTTAAATGCCCAGGCCATAGACCGATTGAAGATAAAATATTTGAATTTTATAATATTATGTTTCTAAAGGCAATATTTCCCTTGTCAACTCCTTGTTATCATAAGGCTGCGTTCTGCATTTAAATTTTAAAGTAGGCGTTTTGGTGTGGAGGACAGTACCGTCTTACTCGTATGATAACCAACAATATTTTATAACTAGAAATTTTACATCTTATGAAAATTATATAAAATTAATTATATGAAAGGATCATAAAAAAGCCAGATCCTAAAACTTATTAAAGTGACAAAAACTAATTATCCTTTTTTTATTTTTTTAAAGGAATAATGTCATCTTTTAGCCCAGAGCCATTCGTCAAATAATACCGTTAATAATCTTTAAGACATTTTCTCTTATTAAAAAAGTTTGCTTCCGAGTGTTTGCTATTCACGTACTCGAAACTTTCAGATGGAGTAAAAACAAAGAACATAAATAGATCATCACGTTTTTATTTCAGTTAAGATAAAATAATGAATAGTTGGCAAATAAACGAAATGCCAAAATTAAATTGGATGACTTTAATTTAAGTGGAAAATGTATTAAATTTATCGCGAGCATGCTGTCGTAAAAATAGATTTTCGCTTTACGCACTCATATTGGAAAATCTCTGAAGGGGCTAATGAAGCATAAAAACACCACAACTTTTTACGATATATCATATATAATCCATAGAAATTTATTTTACGACGAAATTTCATCATGATTACAATTCTTCGCAAAACGTAAAAATAGCGGTTTTCTCAATGAATTAATTTTTAAACGATCATAAAAAATGTTATTTATGCGAAATGTACATATTTTTCACAAAACGCTTTCATAGTGACGTCAAAAATTCAAGTTTTATCCGAAAATTTGAATGAGTATTCGTATAAGTCTTTTTAGGACCCCCCTCGTCCTCGTCATACCTTGTCACGTATTATGTGCATTATTTTTATACTTTATTTAGGCATTTGGCAGCCATGCTCCAATCGTGCCAACCAAAATACTGGGCGATCCCGTCGAACTCGACCGTCACCTGATTGAAAATGGCTACGCCGAAGCTCTTACGCAACTAGCTCCGTCCAATTACAACACCCCGTATATTTACACTGGACAGCAGTCCGATATTCAATTACACGTAAGTAAACAAAAAAAATATTGGTTTGACACTTAATAATTAAAAAAAATCATGTTTTTTCATGTAGTTGTGCTTTCTACGGGATTTATCTTAACTGGCGGAAAATCTCTCCAGTACTAAAAAGTCCCAAAAAAAAGTACAAAAAATTAGCTCGATAATTAAAAGAGTTATAAAGAGGGAAACTTCTTATCAACAGTAAAAATAACTCGAAATGTCCATTTCAAAAATCACAATTTTTACATCTATAGATATATCTATAGTAGGGTGGGTCAAAAAACCGACTATTTTTTTTTACTTTGTACTCAAATTTGTATAAATTTTCGTAAAACTCAAAAATTAAATTGAAATTTTTCAAATTATTCATCAAAAACTGTTAAAATTAGTATGCATTTAAGTTTGACGATAAATATATTTTAAACGCTTAATTTAATCGACAAATTATAAGAGACCATTTTTGTAGAGCAGTTAATTTCCTACAAAACTATGAGTTGCGCGTTTCATACAAATTTTTTGTAAGCGAGTTATAAAATTCGTAAGCAAAACAGAAATTTCTCTTAAAATAATTAAACTTTAACCTTCGATATCTTTTTAACGGTGAGGTTTACGAAAAAATTATAAGAGACCTTTTTTGTAGAGCATTCGATTTCCTACAAGAATATGAGGAGAGTTATTTTTTAACGAACATTTGTCGAAGAGATATAAATTTTTGTTTCTAATACTGAGGAAAAAATGGAAAATTGTGAAGCGGAGGACCTTGTTATCAAAATTAAGAGCTCATGTTTGGTGAGAATTCTCTAGAGGTGTCTAGTAACCGATTTTTCAGAGTACAAAGTAAAAAAAAATAGTCGGTTTTTTTGACCCACCCTAGATATACAGGGTGAGTCATTTAACTTGAAACTTTGAAATATCTCAGTTAGTATGCATTTTAAGAAAAAATGTTTAAAGTGATTCGAGGGGGGAAATCATTCAGTACTAAAATTCTCTCTCATACTCTCCTCATTATAGGGGGAATATGGGGCAACTTTAAAATTTCCAATGGAATACCCTATTTTTTATTGCAGATTCGGATCATTCGACTAAAAATAGCTAGATTTTGTCACAGACGTTTTTTCATATCTGTAATGAAAAAAAATCCATTTTTTCGACTTTTCTTCTATATAAGATTCTACAATAATTTTTTTCGTAAGTAATATCATAAGGGCATTTAATTTTTCCGAAAAGAATCGAAAAAACACGTTGCTAAGTAATATTTTAACAAAAAGCATGAGTGCTGGTGGCAACAAAAATCCGAGTCGAAGAGGAGGATTTTTGCACCTGCACGAATGAATTTTGTTAAAAAATATTACTTAGCATTGTGTTTTTTCGATTTTTTTCACAGGAAAAATTAGATGCCCTAATGGTATTTGACAAGACTATTTCATGAGTAATAGTTAACAATTAAAATATAAATTGCAATTTTTGGTGACAACAGCTGTCAAGTTTTGCCGCGGCTAAACTCGAATAAACTGCTGACAGGTGCTGTCACACAGTTTTTTCGTATATAGGTAATACCACTAGTGGTAAAATTTTACCGATAAAATTTTTGATTTTTATACGAATGTTTTTTTCTTGTAAATTTCGCAAGTGGCATTAATTTTTAAGACCACGAGCCGCTAGGCGAGTGGTTTGAAGTTAATGCCACGAGCGAAATTTCCAAGGAAAAATCTTGAGTAAATAAAAATCAAAAATTTTTTCGTATATAATACCACTAGTGGTAAAATTTTACCGATAAAATTTTTGATTTTTATACGAATGTTTTTTTCTTGGAAATTTGCAAGTGGCACTAATTTTTAAGACCACGAGCCGCTAGGCGAGTGGTTTGAAGTTAATGCCACGAGCGAAATTTCCAAGGAAAAATCTTGAGTAAATAAAAATCAAAAATTTTTTCAGGGAAAATTTTATCACGAGTGGTATTCGGCAAGACTATTTCACGAATATTTTTAACTGCTGATTCAATTTCTGTAAGTATGATTTTTTGGACCAAAACGCATATTTTTTAACATTTTAATTTTAAAATTAAAAACGTCAACAATGACAATTATTTTTATCATAGCAACCAATTGGTTGTTATGCAACTCGTATAAACGAGTGGTTTTTTCACCTGAATAGTAGTTTTATCGCTGCAAAACTGAAAAAACCACTCGTTTTCTGAAATCTGATTGGTCCAAAAAGTAATGAGTGGAATAGTCACCTAGAAACCATTTGTAATTTAAAATTGCGCGTTTGTGATTGGTGGAAATTAAGACGAGGGAAATAGTCAATAAAAATACCACTTTTTTTGGTAATAATTATCGTAATTATCTTATTAAATTAAATCTGATTTTTTTCAGTACCCACGATTTTTTAACTATTATTATTATTATTATTATTATTATTATTGTTATTATTATTTAAGTTTCCTTTGGTTTAAGTTTTAAACATTACTTCTTTCGGTGATAATTATCAATTGCGCACTATGATCACTTTTTACCTGCCAGCATTAAATTCTTTAATTTAAAGGATTATTGTAGGTACCATTTTTAATAAAAATACCTCATTTAAGGTAAAAAAAACATTATTTTGTCAATTAATTAATTTAATCCTAATTGAGGTATAAAAAATGGTATTTAGTTATAAATAATAATAATTATTATTATTGAGGTATAAAGAAACTATTTATAGTTTAGCATTATTTAATAAATTTAGTTCGAAGATTAATTGGCAAACAAAAACACCAGTTATTCATAATGGTTTTTTTTAACAGTGGAAGAAAAAAATAGAAATGATTTTGCTTTATGGAGAAGCAGGCAGGAATCTTGATGTTAAGGTAGTTGTCGTGCTATAAGCATACCATCAGAAAATTTTGAATTTTTGTATACTTATTAAGGACATGACAATACATATATCCTTAAAATTTGAAGTCGATTGACCGTCTATAACCCGAGATAAATTCAATTAAAAATTGGATAATTAAAATGGATTGTATAGGCTTTCTGTAGTTCTGTACCAGTTTCTTAGTTATACAGAAAAAACTAACTGTCAGAAGCTTTCAAAAAACTAACAGTGTTTTAATGTATTTTTGCTGAGTTTTAAAAAAAAATAATTAAAAATTTTTGACCGTCCAATTGTTTATAAATAACCGTTTAAAGTTCAACAATTTGTAAAAAGTATACATCACTAGTGTCAGATAAAAACAACTTGGCAAGGCTGTACGCGAGTATAGATATTATTTCCGCAGTAAATTCAAATGGACTGAGTCAGTCCAATTTATCTATTGGTTGAGCATAAGCGACGTTGCCGGATTAAAACTTATGAAAATATGAAATGATTACGTAAAAATAACGTCTCCAGGGTACAGTCTTGCGAACAAATTATGAATCACTTAGCTACAAGCTCGTATACTTTTACGGTGCGTATAATCTAAAAAATTTTGACAATATTGTACCACGACAACTACCTTAATATCTACACTCAGCGTTTTCCGGATAAAATTTGATCACGTACTCCATTTCACCGTACAGTCAAGCAGTTTACTACAAACAGGATTGTTCAACCGAAAAAAAGAGTTCGTCGAGCAACAGCAACGGCCGCTAATCCTCATGCAAGCACACGAGAATTATCTAGAGCAGTGTTAGCAGAATATTAAAACGAAATGCGAATTAATAAATGCATTGAAGTCGAAGGCCACCATTTTGAGCACCTACTTTAATTAAAATTTAAAAAAATAAATAAATAAATTTAAAAAATAAAAACAAGTATTTTATTCAAAAATTATTGGAGAATCGTATACAGAAGAAAAATCGAACAAAATTGATTTTTTTTCATTACTGCGACATCTATAACAAATATGAAAAAATGTTTTAGACAAAATCTACCTATTTTTAGTCGAATGATCCGAATATGCAATAGGGTGTTCTTGTTCTTGTTCTTTTAAAGTTACCCCCTGTACCCCCTATAATGAGGAGAGTATGAGAAAGAATTTTAGTACTGAATGATTTCCCCCCTCGAATCATTTAATTTTTATTTCAAACATTTTTTCGTAAAATGCATACTAACTGAGATATTTCAAAGTTTCGAGTTAAATGACTCACCTATAGGTGCCATGAATTAGCATTCGGCAAAGTTGTTCTCGTAAAAAATATGGATCGAGTAAAGTAGGTAGTGTAGTTGGTAAATATTTTAGAGTTGATATTCAGTGTAAAATGCACCAATTATTTAACTCTATAGCTTAATATTACTCTACACAACTCTATTATTTCACAGTGTAATAATAACGTAACTCTAAAAATATTATATTTTTTACTCGAATGTCTAATACAATCGCATTAGTGTTAATTTAGACTTTGTAAAAGGTAAAACATTTACACTATAAATTAGTATTTTACAACCGCTATTTGCGTTAAAATTTTCCTAGTTTTCCTCTTGCTAGTGTATCATTGTTTTGGATTAGAGTAAAGTAAACAGTAAGCGGATATATTTTTACACTAAAAAGAGTTAAATCTACACTATTAGGGTTATTATTTGTGGTGGGGATTGCAAAGCGTCTATAAATTTGTAAACTAGTTTAGTGCTGTTTCCAAGGGCTGTTTAATGGTTCGCTTGTGCGTGGGTGCCGCTGCATAATACGTATAAAATAGGTACATTATTATTATTTATATTTAAGATATTTTATTGTAAAAACTTGAAATGTGATTAGGCATTATGTCTAAAAACCGATAATAACAGAAACGAGCCAATTATATACAAATCCCATTCAAAATGGATGCATTGATATAAAAGAAACATTGTTTTTATTTATTTGTTAACATTATAATGTTAACAACTCTAGTTATATGATTTTTTATTTTGTTATTTTTCACAAAATATACTTTTGAATTTAAATATATGTTTTTAATTTTTCTCTCTTTATAGCAACTAAGGATAGAGTAATTTTTACTCGATTTGAATGTAAAGTTTACTAATCAGAGTAAAAAAGGTATGCC